CAATTTCGGTGCTCGTTGAGCCCTGATCAGCAGACTCGGACCCAGGGGCGTGAATGGAGCTTAAACTTTCTGGAAAGAGCGTTTCCACAATCGATTTAAGCTCCAGACGATCCGTAGGCTGCACCTGTCTACCTGCGTATAGTCTTTTAACTACTATCTTATATGCCCTGCCCCAAAAGTCATATTCGACTGAGTCACACAACTCTAAAAAGCATTCTCTTTTGCTTGCCCGAATGGCCCTCTTCAGCTGTCTTCTAGCTTGCTGGTAAGCTAATTGTTTCTCAAAAAACGTAGACCTACCGCGAGCCCGTTGGTAGCTTCTTCTCGCCTGGATGCATTTGCGACGAATGTCACCTATTTGTGCATTCCACCAATACGTAGGCTCTTGTTATCGCGTGAACTGCTTGCGGCGTAACATGCTGCTATTGCAGGCACTCTGTAGTTGGGCTACCATTTGGCATGCTCTGGCCTCAGCATTACCAATTGTGCCCAGAGACTGAATGGCCTCTGAAAAGACCGCGGGATCAAAAGTATCTAGCCGATACGACTCCCTCCACAAGGTTGACGCCCTGGCAGGTGGCTCACCTATTGTGAATAGAAGTGCCGTATGATCGCTGCCCGTATAGCTATCGCAATGGCTCCATGTTGCTCCCCGAAAGATGGATGAAGTGACAAAAGTAATGTCGATAACAGATCCGTATCCCGCCCGACTGAAGGTATACTCGTGGCCAGTGTTGAGCAGTGCAACATCTAGTGTCGCGAAGATCTCCAGTAGGATACGACCTCTGGCATTTGTTGTGAGGCTACCCCATTCTAACGCCCAGGAGTTAAAATCTTTAGCTATAATGGCCTTCCGACCCCTAACATCCTCGGCAACCTCGTCGAGCACCGTCGTGAATTCACTGAGCTGCATGCTGGGGCCAGATAGCAGCTGTAAAGCCATAAGTTACCATATCGGCCGCGTACGAACCTATTGAATGACTTAACATTCGAAAGTACGTTCGTTGAGCTGCCGCATACCCACAACGCAGCTTTGCCATTAACGTCTGTTGACCATGTCCTAGGGCAGCTGGTTCTACAGTGGTGAGGCTCACTGAGAAAAGCTACATCTATACATTTTTCCCTAATGGTCTGCTCTAGAAGATCTTGGGCAGCAACACAATGATTTAAGTTAAGCTGCAAAAACCTTAACATTTCATTTTACGAGCAGCTTCACGGTAAGATGGGCACTTGAAGCTGCCTGCTGAATGGTCCGTCTGCTTTTCACCTTTCCGGATGCAGAGGCTACATTTTGGTGGCTTGGTGCATGCTTTGGCACTGTGACCCATTTCTCCACACCTGAAACAGGCGCCCTTTAAGTCACAGTCGCTGCCGCAGTTTGCTGCCATATGACCGTAATCGAGGCACTTGAAACAGCGTTTAGGCTGCTCCACGGCTCGGATACGGCAAACTACCCATCCTATTCTAATTTTGGACAGCTCGAGCAGAGTTTTAGCTTTCCCAATTGGAAGAGCAACCGTAGCTCTTTGCTGTCCACCAAAAGCTGGCCGAAGCGATTTGATAGCCTCAATGGGGAGTGAGCTATCCTTCAACTCCACCCTAATTGCCTCCAAGATCTTCCCTTTGGTCGCTAACTCATCTAGATCGCGAATCTCAACTTGAGCCGATTCGGTAAGTGTTTTAACTACCGCTCGGTCTCCCAAGGCCTTGCCTACAGCTTCGTGCAGAGCCTCAGCGCTATGCTCCGGCTTCCTACTCAGTTGCAACAAAAGGTCCCCCTTAGCTGTCTTCCTAATACCTTGGACGTCGCCGCTCAGATGCTTTAAATTTGGGTCGCTCTTGACTACGCGAAGCATGTCCGCATAGCTGCAACCACCTACACCTGAAACCGCGATGGTGTCACTTCTGGAACGTTTTTGCAGCGGCTTGCGTCCCTTAACAACCGTCCAGCTGTTCGAACTCGTCTGTCGACCTGCCTGGTTGGTTTTATCGGCTGCAGCCCGTAGAGCCATTGGCTCTATTGGATTTGCTGCGCGTCTTGTGGAGACTGACCAGCCTAGCCAGCTCCTCTCTCATTAGTGCATTTATATGCCGCTGCCCCCCAAATAGGGCAGACAAACCCTCTAGCGTAACTCCTATTTGAGCTAACGCTTCTTTTAAAGACTTGGGTGCCTGGCACTCAGCCACTGGAGACTGATTACAAGTCGACGGCTGCGGCAACGCCCTCTGTTGTTGCTGCGGCGATCGCTGCAACGAGGAACGGCGCGCGAAAGCTTGCAGCTCCTCCTCCATCATGGCCTCCATATTGCTCCGACTACCACGGCGTGAAGCCTGTAGTGGGCACTGCCTACTAATATAATTTGAGTTTAGAGACCGCAGTAACTAAAACTCAACTTAACTACAACGAGAGCCCGAATGTATGCACTACTTTTAATACTTGCTTTGCTGAGACTTAGCAACTCACCAAAGTTAGTGAGCAGCTGATTGTCCGCTGCAATTTCCAGCACTACTAACAGCTGTTAGAGTGAATGCACCTGATTTTTTATTATTTGCACAAATGTGACGCCTAATGTGACAAATCTTTTCGCGCTAAAAAAAAGAAAGGGAAAGACGAAAGCCCTGACGCCAAAAACAGTGACGCTATTGCCGCCCTCTCTTGCACCACCGGACTGTACCACTGGGGTACTCCGCGAGACCGCCGCGAAGTAAGTCTGATAGTTTTTGCCGTCGCTGGGTGCGTCGCGCCCACAGCAACCACGTTGTCTACAGTTCTTTCCAATTTCTCAGGGAAAAACACAGATCCACGATGGATCACGATGACGTCGACCGTACTCCACGAAAACGCAACTCGAACTCTGTTTGTGTATGTGTGTGTGTATGCGTATGTGTGTGTATGCGTGTGTGTGTATGTATGACTGTGTGTGCGTGCGTGCGTATGTGTGTGTGTGTGTGTGTGCGTATTTCTTGTGTAAGCTGAAAGACGCGAAAAATTATTGAAATAGCTATTGCTCGATGGGTTCAGGGGATCTCGTAGTCGAGCAGTCTCGACTATAGCTTTCTTACTTGTTATACCCTGAACCCATTGAAAATGGGAAATCAGGGTATAATGGTTTTGTTAAAAGTATGTAACAGGCAGAAGGAGGCGTGGCAGACCCCACAAATTATATATATTCTTGATCAGGGCGACGAGCTGAGTCGATTTGGCCCTGTCCGTATGTATGAACGTGTCGATCTCAGAAGATATAAGAGCTAGAGACTTGAATTTTTTTCCTAGGTTGTAAGGATCCAATTTTCCAGCTGGGGCAGCGTCAGTTTACCCAGGGTGGATACCACAAGAAAATTTGTGATTCGCTGTGACCGGAATTCGGAGAGGGGGGGCATAGGGAACAACGGGGCAATGCTGAGGGTTTGGCCTCTCAGCGAACGGGCATAGCCGCGTTCTCTACTTTGACTACTTAATGCCGGGATGCGCCTCGGCCAAATAACGAAATATGTAACGAGGAGGGAAGGGGGAAAATGGGATCTACTATCACCATTGGTTAGTTATTAGTCGCCTGATAGAAATAAAACACACGCAGTTTCACTTCTTCACAATCTCTTTATTTCACTCTCTCTTAATTTCTTGAATTTCACTATTAACTACGGTCGCGCTCACCCACTAGCCTTCAATCTCGCTGTCGCTCGCTAACCTTCGGTCTCGCTGTCACTCACTAATTAAAACTTCTATCGCTCTCCAGCCGCCTCCACACCTCGGCCGCGCGCTCCGCTTCGGCGTCGGCACTGCAACTCACCACAGCTTCGGGCCCTTTGAACTTTTCGCCGCGAAAGTCGAAACCATGGTTGCATTGCCGATCGCTGCGACTTGCGCGGGCATTTGAAAAAATGACTTATGTGAGGTGGCTCATCGAGCCGCCTTACAAGGTCCGTGTATATCACGCGCATATCAAGTTTTTCTCTATATATCGATAACTACCCCCGATATTTTATTATCGATTAAAAATCGTATAGCAAGCTAGTTGTTTAATTATATCTCCAACACCTTTCGAGCTAGAGCTTCCAAATTTTAAATGTAGACTTATATGTATTTTATATAATTTCGATTTTTGTTGTAATTTACCCCCCACCCTTATATCCACCCCTCACCATCACCTTTGTAAAAGGCGCATTTCAAGTACTGAAGACTTGTGCTTTGGTATGTACATACATTTGAACATTATGATTATGTTCTAAAAGTTTCATTAAGATTGTACATCTAGAAATTAAATTATTCAACAAATAAATTCTTATAATGTTGCCCACACTGCAGCGCAGCCCAAGCGCAGTCGCTACTTACTGCGCAGTTAGCAAAGTGCGCTCTAATACATGCGTGTGTATGTATGTGTTCCGAAAAGAAGTGCAGAGTGATTAGAATATCAGACTACAGGGTTCAGGGTATCTCCTAGTCGAGCAGTCTCGACTAGAGTTTTCTCACTTGTTGTTCATGTTGTTGTTGTTGCTATTCAGTTGCTGTTGTTGCTTTAGCAGTTGCTGCTGTAGTTGTTGTTATTGTTACAGTTGCTGTATATTCTTGCGGTTGCTGTTGCTTTTGCTGTTGCTGATTGTGCTGTTGTTTTTGCAGTTGCTGCTGATATTGTTGCGGTTGCTGTGTTTTTGATGTTGTTTTTGCTGTTGCTATTGCTGCTGTCGCTGTTGCTGTTGTTGCTGTTATTGCTGCAGTTGCTGTTGCTTTTTGCTGTCGCAGCTGCTGCTGTTGTTGCTGATGTTGTTTTTGCTGACATTGGCCAGACGCTTGGCGTGGGCTTCATACCCACAGAGTTGAGACTTTTCTTTAGATCATCATTGGCGGGGCCATCATGTCCGCTTAGAACAGCCAAAAGGTATGCAGCCACATAAAACTTATTTAAGTCTTTTTAGTTCATTGCACAAAATACGAAATGCACGAAAGTGACATCTGTCATGGTCGCCATATAGAAAAAGAAATGAAAAAAATCGACTGTTCGTTTCAAGTGGTCAAATATGGATGTTTTATTCAATTCAAAAAGGTTTCGTCTTAGCCTAAATACATAAAGTTTACATAAAGAGTTCTTTCGCTAAAAGCAGCTGCAGAACGGGAGTTTATAGCATGCCGTACGTATGCATTTATATGTTTGTATGTACATGCAGAAGGCATATACATGCATTCAAGTGTTTAAACTACGTCGTGGGCAAGAACGTAATAATGCTTACGCTGCAGATCCCACGCTGCAGGCCGGTTTATACATAAGTGACCGCTCATATTACGACACTTATGTATAGCTGTTATAATATAAACGAAGTAGTTATCGATTTTGAGAGAAAAACTTGATATGCGCGTGATATACACGGACCTAGAAAACAAATTTCAAGTCTTTAGCTGTCATATCTTTTGAGATCGACGCGTTCATACATACGGACAGATAGGCGGACATGGCTAAATCGACTAAGCTCGTCGTCCTGTCAAGAATATATAAGTTAAGCGCTCCCGTACTAGAGTACTAGTGATTGGGGGACGCTGTGTTGGGTTCTTGTGAATATATAACAACTTCGTGTTCAATGAAACTCTCTCTAGTCCGAATATAAACTGAACTAAATCTGTTCAACTGGTTAGGTTCTCCCCTTGAATGTCTGACTGGACTCTCCAGCCTCCTTAGATTGTCGAAAGTCTTAACTCTTCCCCATCTAAATATCTGCGTCCCGCAGATCAGGGTGCATATGTCCATTATAACGATATTCATCCAATATAAATTGTCCAATATAATGATAATTATCCAATATAAATTGCCCAATATAATGATATTTATCCAATACGATATCCATCCAATATAAATTGTCCAATATAATGATAACTATCCAATATAAATTTATTATCCAGAGTCCATAGATTAGCATAAAGAGGGCCATCGATATCCACCTTCAAGTTAATTCAAAGCATTCATAGTTCCATACATTTAGTATTCATTTGTGGTTATGACAATACATCCAACATTGTAAGCGCATTTATTTCATTCCGTCTGGCATCTCGGAAATCCCTATTACCATGAATGATCGAAACTAGGAGGGATATACCACGTGTAAAATGCTGTGGATGCTATGGGTGCTAAGGAAGTTAAGGAAGCTAAAAGAAGATTATTGCAATATAATTAAATGTGCTATGGGTGCTAGGAAGTCAAGGAAGTTAAAAGAGGATTATTACAATATAATTAAATGTGCATTTTCCTTTTTTTTTTTCTATTTTCTTAAATCTGATTTATGAAGAATTTTTCCAGTTTTTGTTTTGTTGATAATCATTAATTACACGAGACATAAGGTCCCTTGTACACCATTACTTCTTAATGAAATATTCTGTAAATTCACACAAATGGCATAAGCTTCCGGTAAATTTTTAGGTTTGCTAACTGTTAACATACTCGGTAGGTCACCGTTTAGTCCCCTTATGAAGACATCTAAAGCTCTATCTCTATATGATTCTATTAATGCGGACAATACTACGACTCATTGTTCGCTTGCCTTTAAGGCCTGTAAAATTAAAGAAAACTGACTATTAACTTGCTTATAGTAGGTTTCCAAGTCGTTGTTGCCTTGAATCATTTGATTCAATTCGTATTCCAAGGTTCGAACATCCCTTTTATCAGCATAATGCAATCGCCAAACTCGCTTCATCAGGCCAATCATCATTTTGTACACCGTACGATTACAGTGAAACATCGGCAATTCCAATTACTTTTCCTCGTATATGTAAAATTATTGAGCGATATAGAGGTCTTTCCTTGATAATAGAATAATCTTCAAGGACTCGATCCTGTTTACCCACGAGGCATATTGTGAAAGGTTTCCCTCAAATGTGGGCAACACTTTAACACAGTCCGGCAATGACGAAATTTCATTTAATTCAAGCTCCGAACGTGGACGGGCCAGTGGTTTGTTCCTCTATGAGAGACTGATTAGTATCCTCCTTTTCCAAACGATCCACTTTGATCGGCTAACACAGTTATTGCCGCGCTCAGCCCTTGCAACGTTCCGAACTAAATTATTTCAATGTCGGAAAACTTACTTACTATTCAATTCGATGCCTACTATGTTATCGATCTAATTTTCTACATTAAATCAGCTTTTCATTGTTTCCAAGCTGCTGCTATTTACCGTTTCCAGTGGAGAGAAGAAAATATTAATAATCGTCTCGTAGAATTGCTTCCTGTGGAGATAAATATATTAGTAATGCTCTCACATGGTTGTAACACCTTTTTTAAATAGTTGACGTGAATATTATTTCTTTTATATTATTTCATTGAATTACTAATTGTATTGAATTACGTGTGTGTATTACCACGTGTGTTATTGCGTTGTCTGTTATAGAATTACTGAATTACTAGTTGTATTATCTTTTGTTACCGAACCGGCAAACAGTTTTTATTATTTTATATGGCTTGGGAAGCCCTCAGGATCCTTTTTGGTGTAAGACCTACTTAGGTGAGGGTGGTTCCACAATCATCTGGTCTCTCTCTTGCTTTCGTTTCATTTATTTATTTATTTTACTTTTTTGTTTTATATATTGTTGCCAGACTTATTCTCTTCCGAAAGGGAAGCCCAAAGTATTCCTCTTTGGTTCTAAGACCTACTAGGGTAAGGGTTATTCCACGATCGAATAGAAGGTCTCTGCAATTCATGTTTTTATTTTTGCATATTTATGCTTTGCTTGTTGATTAGAGATTTCCAGACAACCGCCTTTTAATTATACTCATTCACGAAAGTGAATCAGTATATTGGTTTTGTGCAATGTCCGTCTTGCTGTCCGTCCGTCTGTCCGTCTGTCCGTCCGTCCGTCTGTCCGTCTGTCCGTCCGTCCGTCTGTCCGTCTGTCCGTATGAACGCAATCTATTTCGGCGCTATTGAAGCTAGAGACTTGAAATTTGGAACACATACTCGTGTATATCTCCGATTTATAAAGTGTTAAAATTTTCCCGATCCGCCCACTAGGAGCGTGGCAAATCGGAAAATGCATTTTCCGATATACCAGAAATCATGTTTGTTGAAGAGCTAGAAAGCTGAAATTTGGTATGTAGGTCCGCGTTGACCACCCAAGATCACGAGCTATGGCGGATATATCTACGCCCATTGGGGGCGTGGCAAATCGGATAAAACTGTATCTCCTAAAGTTGTAAACCTAGAATGCTGAAATTTTGTACGTCAGCTAATGTTATGATTCTATAAAGTCTAAAGATAAAATTGAAAGTCTACACCCATTAGGGGCGTGGCAAATCGGACCTGAAGATATAGTGATTTTTCAAATTCTGCTATTTTTTGGACACTATTGATGCCAGAGATCTCAAATTTTGTATATATACTCGGGCTGATCACCCAAGACCAAAAAGCTTTGTCGGATATATGTCCGCCCACAGGGGGCGTGGCAAACCGCAAAAATGTATATCTCCTAAAGTATAATAGCTAGAAGCTTCAAATTTAGATAATTGAGTTACTGGTAGCCTCATCTATCGATTCCCCAAAAAATCATTTTTACGCCTCTTTAGGGGCGTGGCATATCGAAAAATACCCTGTAGTTTTCACTTTTTTTGAGAGTAAGCATTCAAACTTTGCAGTTAGGGTACTGTTATCTCGTTCTAGAAACTGACCAAAAATGAGGTGTCTACGCCCAGTAGGGGCGTGGCAAATCGGAAAAGCCTGTATATTCTACAGTATTAGAGCGAAATTTAACTACTAAATTGTTGATGGGATGTGAATGAGTATTCCGCAGTCGGTAACGCCCGACTGCAACGTTCTTACTTGTTTTGTTATATAGTTAGTGCTTTAAACTTAACTTTGACCACTAGGTTTCTTTTTATTTATACGGAAACCCATCATTCAACACAGGTGGAAATTGTGACGTTTATTTTTTATGACATTTGTCTTAGGCAAGGATTTGAACCTCGATACGAGAATCAATCTCGTACCACCATTATGCCTGCAAATTTCTTGTATTTTCGTTTTAAGACTCGTCTCGGCACGGATTTGAACCTAGGTATTGCCAATACCACCATTTAGCCACGATTTCTTTTATGTTATAGAATTATTTAGTGCACCAACACTTGCTAGAAATTATGTTATTATTGATTGTATTATGTTATGGCAAGGATTTTCACCCCATTACTTTGCAAATCGCAGAAGTACTTCGTAATTTTGCCAACAATTGCCCAATTGAATTGGAACACCAAGTTGTTATATATTCACAAGAACCCAACACAGCGTCCCCAATCACTAGTACTCTAGTGTGGGAGCGCTTAACTGGCGCCCGAGAAGGGACCAACATTCTTCACGGAAATAAAGGGAAATGGTGACGTGTCAATAATTCTATAAAAACAACTTATTAAAAAAGCAAGTACAAATAAATTGCTCCAATCCAATTGGGCAATTGTTGGCAAAATTCCGAAGAACTTCTGTGATTTGCAAAGTAATGGGGTGAAAGTCCTTGCCATAACATAATACAATAAATAATAACATAATTTCTAGCAAGTGTTGGTGCACTAGATAATTCTATAACATAAAAGAAATCGTGGCTAAATGGTGGTATTGGCCTAGGTTCAAATCCGTGCCGAGACGAGTCTTAAAACGAAAATACAAGAAATTTGCAGGCATAATGGTGGTACGAGATTGATTCTCGTATCGAGGTTCAAATCCTTGCCGTAAGACAAATGTCATAAAAAATAAACGTCACAATTTCCACCTGTGTTGAATGATGGGTTCCGTATAAATTAAAAGAAACCTAGTGGTCAAAGTTAAGTTTAAAGCACTAACTATATACCAAAATTAAAAGGCGGTTGTCTGGAAATCTCTAATCAACAAGCAAAGCATTAATATGCAAAAATAAAAACATGAATTGCAGAGACCTTCTATTCGATCGTGGAATAACCCTTACCCTAGTAGGTCTTAGAACCAAAGAGGAATACTTTGGGCTTCCCTTTCGGAAGAGAATAAGTCTGGCAACAATATATAAAAGAACAAGTAAGAAAACTAGTCGAGAGTGCTCGACTAGATACTACCCTGAACCCAACATATAAAAATGCCCATTTAGTATGGCTGAAATTTCAATTTCGATGTATTTAAAAATATAAATAAAATACCAAACTCACTTAATAAAATATACAAATATTTTGAAACAATTAAAAAATTTATCATCAGTTGCACCGACCGGGTTTCGAACCGCGACTTCTCGATCGAGGGTCATGCAGCTAACACACCACGCCACCTCACTCCTGCTAGTAGCGCTGGCAAAACTCAAATAGATTCACTGCTGCAGCACCATCTACCAAAACTAAACGAAACTAACAGCTGATGTGATTCAACGAATGTTTCTAGAAGTTTGAATGTATGTGTGCACACGCATACGATGCTGTTTTAGCTGCTGCACGTGCGTTTGTTAATTGACCAAATATTTGATGATTTTTAATTAATTTTTGACTGAACGGAATTTAATGAAACTTTCAGCATATGATCTACATATTATCTTTATCTATATATATAAAAGAGAGTTGTGTAAAAGT